AGAAGACTGTTGAGATATGATGAGTTTTCTTGTGTTTTTACATGTGATGTGATTCATTTGTCATGTTTGTGTTCCACCACAAGATGTCACTATGTACTTTGTGGGCTCAGAGAAGTGGGGGCTTCTGGGTATTATCAGGGGAGTAGTACGCTAGTTGAGCATGCGAGTGAGTATGCGTTGTTAGCAATGTAGTCCTCAATAAATGAACATGAAGTTACACCAAGTGAGTCCATGAACCTCATGACATGGTGTCAGAAGTGACTCTCCTGACCGACTGAGAGAAGAAACTGGTTTGGAGCGGCGACATGGCGAAGTTTCATGCGCCGGAGTCGTTTGACTTCACCCAGCAATCGGCGTGGCCGACCTGGAGACAGCGTTTCTCTCGCTATCAGATTGCAACTAAACTTAACCAAGAAAACTCTGAGGTACAAGTAAATTCCTTGCTATATGCCATGGGGAAGGAAGCAGAGCCCATATTCAGCACGTTTACATTCACTGAGGACGAGGAAGATTTTGACTATTACGAAGCAGTCGTCAGGAGGTTTGATGAATGTTTTGTACCCAAGAGGAATATTATACACGAGCGTGCGTGTCTCCACAGACGCTCTCAGTGTGTGGGAGAGTGTAGAGGCATTTGTAACTGTACGTTCAGACCAAACGCGTACAAAGCATGCGGAAGTCATTCACTTTCTATTGGGAGCCAGGCGGAAAAAGCGGAAAAGGCGTGGCGGAGCGGATCGAGTGCACAAAGCGGATAGCCATGCAATAACCAATGGGAATGTCTAGATCTGCTGACGTCCCTTGGTCAAGTGGGTCCCAGCGAAACAACCCGCGTAACTTGGGTTCCTACCAAAACATTCGTTCCGAAATGGCGCTGGAGATATTAATAGCTGTTAAAGTATCATAATGCCTAGTGGACAGTAAACCATGATAGAGGTGGTTGTGGTTTTTGGTGACAATTTGGGGAAAGAGAAAATTCCTAGAATAAAAAGGTCCCACCAACAATAAGGGCATATGTGTGAAGAAGTAAAAAAACAAAATAAACTTTGTGGTGACTCAGTCAGTGTCTGGTATACATTGTATACTAAAAGGGTGTGCTGTTTGGAATGTATGTGTTATATAAGCCACCTGGCTGATCTGAATTGCCCAAAGGTTTTGTGTATATGATCAGACCATACCTGTTATGAAAGATTCAGTTTGAGTGCGATTGTTGTGTGATTGATAAGCCCATTGAGTTAAAAGCAAACCCGGTCAAGTGAGTCTATGGTAGAAATGGGGATCAAATTGGGGAAATTAAAATTCCTTACTTTACTCTCTTACATGCATTGCTGACATTTCAGAAAATGGGGAAACAATGTAGAATGAAGATGTTCAAATTTGGCACCATGTAACTGGGGTTTGTGTTTCTATCATAGGTTACACATAGAACTGATTGTTTAAAGATGGTATAGAGTAATATTGAGAAAAGGAAAAAGTGAAGAAAGTGATAAACTATGGCACCTTTCCCAGATATGGGAGGAGAAGCAGACAGATGCACAATCGAAGAAACAAAGTGAACAGAGGAAGAAGAGGAGAAAGATGGAAAAGCAGAAATGTACGGGCCAGAAGAAGGGCTAAACTCCCCCATCCCCAGTGCTGTCTCGCTGCCTGCAAGAATGCCTACGGAGGGGGGAAGAACCCTCTAAGATAATACACCACAGAAGACCTACTGTAGGAGGTACATAGGAGGCAGCGGGGGCAGGTCAGAGCATTGAATAGCACATACAGACACATAAGGAGAAGATAAATGATGACAATGACAAACAACTTGTTACACACTAATGATATTTACAGTTAACACTAGATGCTAAGACAACTTCAGGTTAACTCTAAATGTACTAAGTGATATTGTGAGATTTTTGTGCACTCAGGAGCAAATGGTTTTCATTGTTTGTGGACTTGTAGCAAGTTCTGATTNNAGCCATTTGGAATGAGTTATGCTAAAGACAGACTTAATCCACTGTTTGAAGGTGCAGCAAAAACAGTTAATAAAAAAGACTGTACAAGGTGTGGCAGAAAGCATGAGTATGGTGCCTGCCCTGCAACAGGAAAATGTTGCCATAAATGCAACAAGATTGGTCACTTTGAGATAAAGTGCAAAAAAAAGCTGTAAAAACTACATATATAAACGGTGATGAAGGCAGCGTGTGGTTTTTGGGAGCTGTCACAGAGGAAGACTATCCTGATGATGATAAATGGCTAGAAGATCTGTTCATTAATGGGACTACTGTGCGATTTAGAATTGACACAGGCGCTGATATAACTGTAATATCAGAAAACACTTATCAAGGCCTACCACAGTGTCCTCCTTTGAAAGCTACTAAAGCTGTTTTCAGGAGTCCTGGTGGCGAGCTTGTTTGCAAAGGCAAATTTATGACTGATTGTGTAAGACATGGAGTGACATACACTTTCTGGGTATATGTGATAGACCACTAACCTGCTTGGATGGAAAACTGCTGTTAAAATGGGGCTTGTACACTACTGCTATTGAACTGTGATCCTGTGAAAATAGTGCTCAAGCCTGATGCCCAACCCTATAGTATCACCACACCCCGGCATGTTCCTTTTCCCATCCTACCACAAGTGGAAGAAGAACTGAAACGAATGCAATCACTAGGCATCATTGAGGAGGTAGGCTTCCCTTTGGGATTACATCTGCCCCGGAAATATTTCAGCAAAAGATGAGCACTCTCCTGAGAAATCTTCCAGGCACAGTGGTGGTGATTGATTATATCCTGGTCTTTGGTAAGGATAAAGAGGACCATGACAAGAACCTGAGCGCAGTTATGCAGACTATTAGAGCTTCAGGACTGAAACTGAACAAGGACAAATTTCAGTTAGGAAAAACTGAAATTCAGTATTTTGGACACATCATTAGAAAGGATGGCATCAAGCCTAACCCTGAAAAAGTCAGAGCTATCACAGAGCTGCCTAGCCCCACTAATGTGACAGAGCTATGCCAGAGGATTGGGATGATCAACTATCTGGGAAGGTTCCTCCCAGACCTTTCATCTCTAATGCACCCAATCAACAGCCTGCTGAGAAATGATGTTGTGTGGCGTTAGGGCGACGCAAGAGGAGGCATTCAAACAGGTGAAAACCATGTTGACCACAGCGCCAGTCTTGGCGTACTATGATGCAAGCAAACTAACCACGGTGAGTGCTGATGCCAGTAGTTATTGCCCTGGGGCGCAGCCATTACGTACCAACAAGGAGCAGACTCCTTGGCCCTAGTTGGCCTTTCTGCTCAAGAACAAACTGACAGAGAAACAATAAAGAGCAAACGTTACTCACAGATAGAAAAGGAATGCCTTGCTAGTGTCTGGGCATGTGAGCGGTTTGCGAGGTATCTACAAGGCATGGAAAAGTTTTGCTTGCAAACTGACCATAAACCACTTGTCCCACTGATAAACTCATATGACCTTGACAAAGCACCTGTGAGATGTCAACGATTATTAATTAGACTAATGAAGTTCAATGCTGAAGCTGTGCATGTTCCAGGAAAGCAGCTCATTGTGGCCGACACCTGGTCACGCAACCCTCTGCGAGATAATTGCATATCTGATACAGAGCACGACATCAAAGCTTATGTACAGGCAGTGATATCTACTATATCTAAGACCAATAACAGCCGATCGACTGGATGCTATCAGAGAGGCTACTAGCCAGGATGCAGACCTTCAAGCTGTGGCTCACTACATCAACATGGGCTGGCCTACAGAGGTATCACAAATACCACACACACTGCACAAGTTTCAGGTCGCCAGAGCTCATCTATCAGAAGTCGAGGGACTCCTTCTGTATGATGACAGGATTGTTATTCCCCTCTCACTGCGGGAGATTGTGCTCTCTCAGATTCATGACGGTCATCAGGACTTGACCAAGTGCCGCAGAAGAGCTAATATGTCGGTGTGGTGGCCAGGGATTGGCAGAGACATTAATGAACTGGTTAAAACGTATGGGTTTTGTCTGAGAAACAAACCTACTCAGAAAAGAGAACCATTGATGACCACACCACTGCCACAAGGTCCATGAAAATAGAAGAAGAAGAAGAAAATAGCAGCAGACATGTGTGAACAAGATGGTAAACAATACTTTGTTGTTGTGGATTATTATTCACGTGACATTGAGATCGCACATCTGCCAACCATCAGCAGTCAACAAGTTATCACTCGCCTGAAAAGCATGTTTGTCAGGTAGGGAATCCCATTGGAGCTGATAACTGATAATGGCACCCAATTTCAGTTCAGTAAGACCTACAACTTTGGACACACAACATCCAGTCCACACTACCCCCAAGCTAATGGCGCTGCTGAAAGATACACGCTGACTACAGCCGGGTCAGCGTGTCAACATCAAGCTTGACAGAAAAAGGCTGGAAAACTCCTGCAAAAGTCATCGCTAAGGCACCAGAGCCTAGGTCTTATTATGTGCAGACAGAGCAGGGCATGCTTGCCCGCAGAAACAGGAGACACATTCAGGAAGTGCCTGAGTCACCTGTGCCACCTACAGCAGTAGAGACTCATGACTTAACATTTGACTCTTCCTGTGACATGGGCCCAGCTGCAGTTCCCCCTGGCGCACCTGTCACTGCAGCTTCTGCTGTGCCTCTCAGTCCCAGGTCTACTCTATTGAGGACCTTGGCAGGAAGAGCCATTAAACCACCTAACAGGTTCAAAGACTATGTTGCAAAGTAAAATGAAGTTAAAAAAAAAAAAAGAGAAAAGACAGGATCTTGATTTCTTATGTTATTTACAGGTTAAAGATGTTTTGTACACAAAGAAATATGAGAGCATGTGAAATGCAAAATTTGTTTGAAGTATTGGAAATGTGTTGAGTTTGTTGCACTGAACTGCAGTTGACATTTGTTGTACAGTTTATTTTAAGTTTGAAGTTACAGTTACAGTATTAAGTACCTTTTTCAGAGAGCTACTT